TCTGTCTGTCTATCTATCTATCTATCTATCTATCTATCTATCTATCTATCTATCTATCTATCTATCTATCTATCTATCATCCACAGTTACATTGAGAAAATGTAGAGTTTAGAGAAGTCCGATTCTTGTTGTTACTCACCAACAACACCATGAAGCGGTTGCCATTCACAAGGCTGATGATGCCGAAGACGCAAACGCAGAAGAAGCAAAACCCGGTGAAAATGGAGATCCAGGCGCCTGCATAGACATCGTCTTTGCCGGTGACTCCCAGGATGGGGTAGACTTTATAGGGATCAGCTGTTACCCAAATAGACTCAGCACAAAGTGCCAGCCCTGAAAGCTGTAGAAACAGAGGAAGGTTGTTAGCCACCAAACTACCAGAAATCAAACCAGGTTCTTTGTCATCTAGCATGTCCAGGGGTGTGTGTATGTGTGATGCAGTGGGTTGTTTAGTTTAGTTCAGCTTCCTTTTGTAATCTCCCGGTGCTACACCCACACCGGTAGAGGGTCCTGTGTAATTTTGGCAGGCCCTCAAATTGTGCATTTGTATTCCATGTGTTATAGGAACCCCACCATGGTGGTTTATGGGAATGTGGCCAATGATGATTCATTCAACAAAATATAGGGAATAATGTTTAAATCAGGGATGTCAAACACAAAGCCCGGGGCCTGGATTCGGTCTGTTGGGTGCTTAGATCTGGCCTGCAGGGCTGCCCTGGAAACAGCGAAGGACTGGCCCGCAGTGCTTCTGTCAGCGAAAATGGAGTTCGGGAAGGCCCCATGCATACCCTTGAGCTCCGTTTTCACTGGAAGAAGGTTGCAGGAGGCCGTCGCAGCTGGAAACAGAGCTCGTGAAGACTATGTGTGGCTATGCTGAGCTCCATTTTTGCTGGCAGAGGGTTGCAGGAGGCTGTCCCAGCTGAAAACGGAGCTACAGAGTCTGTTTTCGCCGGCAGAGTGATCGGGCCACCACAGGCACCCCCGACACGAGTGACGTTGAGTTGGCCACGCCCACCCTGGCCAGACTTACCACGGCCTCCAAAGTCGAACACAACCCTGACGCGGCCCTCAATGAAATCAAGTTTGACACCCCTGGATTAAGACAACATTTCAAAACATTTTTTAAAAAAACTCAAAAACACGAGCTAGGTCATTCTATCCCCATCTCATTTTTCAGATACCAGAGTCAATACTTAGGAATTTTCCCATTGCTGAGATACAGCACTGCATTGCTTGTAGGTCTCTTACCATAATAATAACATTGCCCATCACTAATAGCCCCACAACAAGGGGAGATCTCTTTTCTTCCATGCTTTTCCAGAAAAGGTTCCTTGGATACCAGTCCTCAAATTCTGCAGAAGAGAGACAAACAAACAAAAAAACAATTCGCTAAGTGAAAGAAAAGATAGGTTCATTGCTTTTCTCAATTCTTTAGCGTAAAGGGCATTTGCACAAGTTAGCTTTTTTCATACCTTCCACATCTGCACTTCATAAAATGTTAATATGTTCTGGTTTGCCAGTTAGCTAACAAGCTGGTTATTTGTGGGCCAGGTGCTCCATGGCATGCACATTTGTATCAACATATACATTTTTGTGTTTTCTATGGTACACCAGGTAGCCCTGTTGATATGCTTAGCTACTTTTTTGAAAACATGTATTTTAACCCGGCAACTTCCTAAATACTCCCAGTCTTTTTACTCCATTGCTTTAAATGCTTCAAAGTTTGCACAAGTGAGAAGTGTAAGGTGGAGGCATCAGCATACAAATGAAAAAGAATGTATTTTGAAAATGCATTTGGTTCCCAGGCATTGACATAACTAGCCCTTCAGATAGTCACTCACGCCCTCGTCACCTCAAGACTGGATTACTGTAACGCGCTCTACATGGGGCTGCCCTTGAAGAGTGTTCAAAGACTTCAGCTAGNAGGCTTTCCTGAAGCCTGGGGAGTCTGAAAATGGCCTCCCCTGGCCCTCCGGAAGAGTTAGAAATTAGCTGGCCGGTGCGCGCATGCACGCCGGAGCTGACAGCTGTCATGCCACCAAATATGGTTCCATATGCCACCCTTTGCACTTGTGCCATAGGTTCGCCAGCACGGCACTATAGTATAAGATTGCCCATCTCCTCTGTAAAAGGCACCCCTTATATGGTATATTAATGTACTCCCCACACAGTAATATATTACCGAGCACATGAAATAAATTACCCAGCATATGTAAACTCAACCCAGGCTATCTCTGCTACATAAATGAATACAAATGCAGAGGGCCTTAATATGTCCATCAGGTTGCACATCAGTTACTGATTGACAATTTACTCCATTAAAGAAAAAAAATCCCGACACACTCAAATTTATCTTGCTCAGTGTACGTATGGATGCCTGCATTAGTTGTGCGTTATTTGATTTCCTCTTATATTTATTGTAATCTCGCCATATGTATCATTCTGTTTAATGTAAGTAGATGTGATTTACAGCACTTCTCCTGGCAGTTCATTTTGGTGTAAAATAAGCCAAGTGCTAGGTAAAAATCATCCGTTCAGGAATGCAAACATGTTTTCAAGTGATTTATTCTTGGTTTTGTTTTGTTTTTATATACTGGCATTGGTGGCCTACATGCTTCTGCTGGATAAGCTTGCATGTTTGTGTGTACTGAAGCTGAACTGCTAGAAATCCTTGGAGGTTTCTGGCTGTTCCTGCATGCCCTTCCCCTCTGATCTAACTTTAGACATACCAACAAATGAAAAAAGGCTTGTCCGTAATTGTACTTATTTTCCTCTCCTTTTTCTTGGCACAATCCTGATTTATCATTATTTCCTCCCCCTCTTGTTTTCCCAGCAAATGTCGGTCAAGACTCCCTAATGATAACAAAGGCTTGCTGCCAGTTGCAACAGTACCTGTTGTAATCACTGGAATTCAGGCTTTTCAATTTTCACTGTTTGCCTTGGATCAGGTAGCTGTGAGCTAATGGAACAGAAGGTCACCAGATGAAGGGCTGATAGGAGAGAGGGACTATTCTACTTAACATGCATGGAGGATTATGCTTTTCAGGCGTCCTAGAGCTAATCTTTCAAGTTGTCCTTTTTTGACTTTCTCAGTTTAATCAGCTTAATCTTGCCTTCCTTTTTTTCTGATTACAAAGATTTTCTGTAGAAATCTTACCTTCACAATAAAGACCGTATGGCAATTTATTTTCATATTGATCCTAAATTCACTTTCCCTTTATGGGTAGGGTAGTGAAATAGGAAGAAAGAAGAAATAATGAGAAAAGATACGAGTCCTCCCTTACCATGGCTCCTTTGACACAAGACAGGATATTTTAAAGCCTAATCACAACACAGGTCAGTGTGTGTGTATGTTACACAGACTAGGAGAGAGTAGAGTCAATCTTTCCAGTAACAGTCCCCTATAACTGCTTGTCCCTGGTAGTTTCTGCCCATCCCTCTAGGTATGGCAGAATGGACATGCTCCAAATTCTCTTGGTGAAGTAGTGTCCCCTGGTGAATCAGGTGTGCCTTGTCTGACATTGCTTTATGGAACAGCCTCTCCCTCTCCTTTCCACTGTTGTGGCTCGCCCGTGGCCAGCAGAACTGGCAGCAGATTCAGACAGTGAGGAGATTGGAAAGGAGCATGAGCCAGTCCTGGAGTCTGGGGAAGATTCTGATGAGGGCTCTGTATCAGAGGCAGAGAGGAGGGCAGGGCCATATGTCAGTTATGTTCAGAGGCAGAGATCAGTGAGGCAGACGAACAGCTGGAGCCTGTTCCCAATGTGTGCATACACAGAGTTGCCAGATGAAGGGAATAGTTAAAGAATAGGGGTGGACTTGAGAGTAAGACCACGGGTGACGATGAATGGCCGCTCCCAGAGGAAATAAAAGAGGAGCAAAAGGGGAGGGGAGTTTGCAGGAGACAATTAGTTCGCTTCATTGGTTCGTGACTCTCCGAGACCCGTTGCCAAGTTTTGCAGATACCAGTCTGGCAGCTCTCCAAGCCAGATAAGGTCTATGATTGTAAATCCTCCCTTGAAAGACTTTGTTAGATGTGAATTTGGAAGAATTCACAGTAAGTTAATAAAAGGAGTTTTTTTTTCAGGACAAGGAGTTTGCTTCACGCTCTTGGGAAGCCTAGGTCAGAACACCCACAGATTTGAGTGACATCAATCCTGTTGGCCTTCTGAAAAGCTGCAAATACCAAGCTTCCCCGTCTCCCCAATGTTTTTATAATAACCCCAACTTAGATATTTTATTTGATGTGTGTATTCTGTTGCATTGTTTGTTCCCTGCTTAGACTTCCATTAGTGGATTGGCAGCTCTATAAATGTGCAAACTAAATAAATACATTTAAGGTCCCCTCATATCATCTACACCTCAGTGTGTTTGTTAACAGTTGCTGCATGTCTAACATCAATGTGATTTTTAGGTCCGGCATTAATGGACTGAAAAGCAGCATTACCACTTGCATTGTCAACAAGGTCACTCACAATATGTTGTTCTGTCCCTGGAGCAATTAAATAGAGGTTGTTTTAAAACCTAGCTGTAGATGGGAGAGAGGATTTTTCAGGATGCGTCATGGCTCTAAAGAGGGAACTAGCAGCCAAAAAGGTGAAGTCTCTCATTAGTAGCAAAAAGGTGAAGCCTCCAAGTTCTGTTCAACTCCTGATGACTACCAGACATATCCCTATAGTTTTCCTGACAGCAGAACAGATACAGCTTGCCCCTGGTTGTTTTTCCAATTATCTTCATGGTGGTCTCTTATCCATTCTAACCAGGTTTGGCCTGGCTTAACTTTTTCAAGGTCAGCATAAATAGGCTAGGTGCAGCTGTTTTCCATTAGCAGTTACCGCTAGGAGAATGGGAAGATTGTGATCAGATGAGTCATGTTCTTGTTGACCAGTTGCTAATTGTTTCTGGGCAGATTTAGGATTCCTTTCTTCCTTTAGCTTCTTATACAGTATTGAAACCCTTAAGGATTGCCTAGATTTAGTAATTCTTGAAGGAGAGAATTCTTGCAAATACTGGGCTGTGGTTTAATTGCTCTTAAAGAAAAGACTTCTTAAGTAGTGTTGGAAGAAATGTCCATTTGGGTTCAGTTCCAAGTGGGGAGAAGGACACTGGAAACATGAAGGCTGTTTGGAAAGATGGTTTAATGGTGGACAGGACCACATGCAGGGGTAACTTTGTAGGTTGTCTTGAGTCCCAGGCTTGGTTGAATCTTGCTGGGTGATGATTGTGGAGGATCGTGAGGATTGTATTCTGAAAAAGGTGTTGGGCAAATCCTATTATGGCTTAATGTCTTTGTCCTGGTTTGGATCTTGAATGAGGGCTAATTCTATCATGTCCTGAGGGTGAAGGTATTTTTTTTTGTAGATAAATTGACCCAGTCTTTTGTCTTGTAAATAGGTTGGCGCCAGTCTTTCCGAGGCTATTAACAAAGGTGGGGCTGCTTTCCAACAGCATGTTTCTCCTTTCTTATCCAGGGAGATATAATATTCTGGCTTTTTAATATTTCCTGGAATATGTCATTCTTCTGGTAGAAGGGTGGGTGCTAACTTTCTACAGTAGGAGTCAAAATAGCTCAAGCTGGCAGATATCTTAGATACAACCCTGGGTGGACAGAAAAGGAGGATGGAACAAGTTATTAAGAAAAAGAAACAACCTCTGGCTCTTGTTCTCTAATATAGTTATGACTATAAAAGTAGAAATTCTGCCCTAAGTTTTTGGTTCATTGGTTACCTTTCCTATTTGTAGTTCTGGCATAACGTTTTAATTTGCAATTTCATTTGAGCAATGGGATTTCAGGTTTTTTTTAGGTTGAACTGATATATGCAACATATGGAAAACTACATCACTTAGAATGCCTATTTTTACACAACTACTGCTAGTATAGGAGCTTTTGTCCTCCTTTGCAGCTGAATACATTATTTATAGCTAAGGTAACTATTTTTTTTTTCTAAAAAGGAGTGACAACATGTTGCTGGCACATTGCTATGTCTTGCAGGCTGTTATTTGAAATATGTCATAAGAATAGAACAATATGTGATTCTTTGGTACTGCATTCTGGGAGATTGTATCCCCCAAATGGCAAGCTTTATGGATGTGGACAGAATTTTTCAAAACAATGCCTCCAGTAATGGTGTCAATTGCCCAGGGACATTTGAAACATCCATTTGTATGTATGTGTTCTTAAAATGATTTGATTTTTTTTGATTTTATTAATATTTATAGGCCGCCCTTTTCCCTGAGGGGACTCAGGGCGGCTTACATAAGATGGGGAAGGGAGGGTACAGACAATAGACACAAAATAGTACATAAAGGTA